TATTTAGTTTAAAAGAGTATTATTTATTTTCCTCTATTTGCAAATCTTGTACAAACTTTTATTCATTGTGAAAGAAGCAGGGAAAGGGAGGCAATTTTCGCCAAGTCATGATTTCGCGCGCTTTAGAATGTTCGAGAAAGAATTTTCATTGTTAGTTGACCTTAAGAGAGGAGAACCTTGTCTTTCAATGTAAGTCATTCAGGTTTTGGCGATTGAGGGTCCGGTTGTTGGCTAAGTGAAGAAGGGCGCGCATGCGCGATCACCCTTATTTCCGCATTCTGGAGTTGAAAACGAAGATTTTGCCATAATTAAGGGGGCGATAAGTGAAGCCATAGTGGGAGCCCGTTTGGTGAAGGACAAGAAGGAAATTTGAGTTGGAGACACTTACTTTTGGCTGACTCTCGGGCTGACTCGCTGATTTTTGGGCTTGCTGCTGGACAAAATGTAAGTGACTCCGAGAGGTGTTTTCCGGCGGGGAGCGGCAAATATGCTCCCCGGCCGCGTTTTGGTTAAGAGGCGAGACTCTCTTACACACTTACTCTGGGACTCGCTTAGGCACTCACGCTTGGATCGCTGACTTTCGGGTTGCTGGTCTTGTGGACGTTGCTCTTGAAAACTGGCTTGAAGAAAATTGGAGTTGGACTCTCCTTTACTGACTGGTGGGTGGAATTTACTTGGGACGTTACTCGTGAAGCTTGCTCTTGGGATGAGTAAGAACAGGCGAGCTGAAATGGCCTAGAAAAAAAACGTTTCTGACCTGAGCCTGAAAACCCTCTTCCTTGCGGCGTGCTGGTAAAGAGGCGAAATTTGAACGAGTTACCTGCGTGTGGACATAGGACTTTCAGGACCAAGCGGATAGCCGTCCTGGGCAGCAGTGCTCCTGTTTCTGTTCTACAGTAGTGAAGTGGAGTCTACATTTTTAGAACCTGTGTCAAGATGAGCCCGGCCGACATCAACTCTTGATAAGATAAGAGTCCTCCGCTTCAAGATGTCCCCTCAAGATAAGTTGTATTTTTTTTGGTGTGTTTGAACCCTTAGGCAAGTTTTTTCAAAACGTCCTTAGCAGTAAAAAAAAACAACGTCGAATCTAAAATTTAACTCTCAGGCCTTAAATTGTTTCCCTTTCCGTTCTTTTAAATCACCAGACAAACCTTAAGTTTTTTTATGAATTTAAATGAACAGACTCTCAGATGAGGTTAAGATTTTTCTTATTGTGTTGTAATTGAATAAACTGATATTTAATCTGGAACCTCTTACAGTATGTTTTTTTTATATATTTAATATGAACTTTTCCTTTATATCTTGTATATGTTTTATGTTTTCGATCCTCTCACGGCGCGGTCCCGGAATGCATTTTTTCACAACGCAAAAATGCTGTACACGTTTCACTATACGATCACTCCCTTTAACGGCAAGTAGTTTCATATTTAACATTTAACAATATAGGAATTTAAGATATAACATTGGTGCCGTGAAGTAAGATTCATAACATTATTTCCCGGCGTGAACTTAAGCTATTTAACACTCCTTTCTGCATGCCTTCGTGACGTAACGGTAGCACACTCGGCGCGTATTCGAGAGGTCCAGGTTCGAGTAACGGCGAGGGCATTGCTTATTTTTCACTCCTCCAGCATCGAAAAACCCTAATGACTCTACAGTATGATTTTGAATATTTATTAATTCGCATTTAATATTCTTTTCTTCTGCAGTCGTTCGTGGTGTGTGGTGTTGTTTTCTCAATATAAAATTTGAGGGAAAAAAAAAAAAAAAAAAAAAAAAAAAAAAAAAAAAAGCTTTTTCAAGCTTTTAATTCCTTAATTTATTTTAAACTAAGATTTAATCTGCCTAAAGCTCCTGGAAAAAATTAATATCTTGTCGCTTTTTGATTATAAGAAATAATCATTGCAAAGTATTTTGTTTCTTTACTTCCTGAAATTAAATTAGCAACCAAATAAGCCCTCTTTCAAAATGGCAGATAATATTGCATCAAAGGAAGACAAAATTTAGATGGGTAAAATATTGATTACAATATATATATATATATATCACTTATAACGGAAAATATAACCTTCTACTAATGTTAAATTAATACTGATGAAATGAAGTTCTTCGTAAAAAGACACGAAATCTGCATTTTAGTACATTTTCAGTGCTGATCACCATTTTTCGAAGAAAGAAATTCAAACAAAAAAAAAAAAAGAAACTCTTTTAATAGGTTTAGAGACAGAGAGTCCATTAAGAACAAGCCTTGTCTGGCGTCTTTATTACGGCTGTTGTAATTGAGAACGAATATAAGCTCGCGTAAAGCAGCTTAAGTGTTAAAACTAATTTCAAAGGATTTTTCTTGAAAAGAATTAATGTGTTTACTTTCTGGAGTAACTGAAAGTAGTTTCAAATTTCATGTTTTAGATTTTAATTCAGAATATTTTGTCTATCAAGAAAAAAGCTCTCACTTTAGCTCTGGTGTAATCACGCGAAACTCCCTCTTAAATTTCCTAATTGCTTAATTCTAATTATGTTACTTTATAGAGCTTTATGTTATAAAGCAGAATCTTTAAAGAGATATGATAGATAAAACTGCTGCTGAAATACACTGATTAGAACTTTTGGATTTAAAACAAAATTAGAATTATATTTTATTAAGTGTTTCGTTAGTGGAATATTGCTATACAGCTGCAATAACTAACAAGCGTATTCCATTCAGTAAGGAAAGCCGTCTCTTTTTTTGTTTCGTTTTTGTTTTTTTGTTTTTTGTTTTGTTTTGGTTATTATTATTTTTCAGAATGGATGACATTACTGCAGCCAAGAATGAAACGACATTCTGCAAGGATCGTGAAATTATTATTATGGAGAGATATTTGTAGTATTTACGATATTTACCTTTTATCAGGAAAGTTGTTTGTAGTGTTTATGTTATATTTACTCTGCTCTTCGTTTATGTTCTTCAATTTGTTTAGGTTTTTGTGACCTTAATCGCTATGAAATCTCCTTTTTGGAACATTGGCCGAAGAAGTAACATAAATTATAAGACTTTATTTTAAAAGCGGATTATTTAAGAAACGAATGTGTTAGCTTATTCTGGACGTGTGAAATGTCAAATTTTGTATTCATATATACTTTTACGATATATTTCTACAGTACCGATATGTCTCACATGTTATGTGCAAGAAATATTTAATATTGTACACAGACAGTACAGTATCGGATGTTGTACATAGGAGTATTTATGCATGAATATTAAACAATAATTTTCAAAAATAAAATGCTAAATCTTAAAACTTCTATTGCTTAATGTGGTATTTTAAAGTGATAGGTTTACGTCCATTAACACACATAGGATTTATTAAAACAGCTGATGTTTTTAGATAATATGGTTGTATGTAAAATACGAAAACTCCTTTGTGGACTCGTCAGTTGACCCGCAACTAATGAATTAACTTTGGCTTTTTATGTTTTCAAAAAGAAATTTTTTCCCGTAGTGGAATAGTACATATATGCCTCTTACTGGTGAGATAAATGTATGCTTTCATAGCCATTCATTACGTTTATTTTTAGTTTAATTTTTTTTTCTTCTCATATTCCTTCTCATTTTTAGATTTGGAATCCTGGAGATATTTTATGTTGTTCTTTTGTTTTTTTATGATACTGCCTTTTTATTTAGACTTTCCTAGATATGCAAAATCTCTTCAATTTATGCTAATCTGACGTGTATTCTTATTTTTATTCTCCTGTACATACATTATGTTTTTTACATCCTTGTGCGAAGTAAAGGAATTATTCTAATCGCGAAAAATTTCGGGTATCATATTTCAAAGAAAATATGCATTTCAACTGTTCTTGAAACCGTTTGAACGATGTTTTTGAAGGATTTCTGTATGCAATGTCAGAATAAAAGATTGTTTTTTCGAAAAAGAATTTTAAAATGGATTTAAAATAGATTCAGATGAGATTTTTTTTCCTTGACATGTGTACGTATATATGTATCTCGCATAACTCAAGACTGAGTAGCCGTATAAGTTATTTCTCCCGCTTTCTTAGCATGCCTTCATGACTTAATTGTCAGCATACTCGGCGCGTATTCGAGAGGTCCTTGGTTCGAGTCCCGGCTAGGGATTCAAACAACAGACATGCAAGCAGCAGCACATCGCAGGAGCAGGAAGACGCAGCAGTAGCTGCAGGAGTCTCCTCCTTCGACATGAAAAATTGCTAATTCTTCAACTATTGCATGCAATCTGCATGCAATAGTTGTAGAATTATCGATAACTTAAAAGTTTAAGAGGCGAGTTAAGCCTTTACATTTGAAACTTTTAACATAAATTAAGTACGTTTCTGCACCTTCAATGTCTTTTTGCCGTGTGGGACAAAAAGTAAACTTTCAGTTTTGCGCCTCCGAAAATCTGTCTTCTTGCTCACTGACCGAATTGTTGCTCATAGAAACTCCAATTTTAATTGCAAAAATTGTTATTTAACAGTTTTTAACTCTATTTGGTGTTTTATGTTTTTCTGTATTTTAGAATTTTTAATGAAAATATTTTGAGTTTTTATGCATTTTTGCCTTGCCGCGAAATGAGAACTGAATTAATTGAATGAGAAATGTGTCTCTAATGAAATTCGAGGAAATAAGCTTAAATACAATTCAGCCAAAAATGTGCATAATTTTATAAGCCATACAAGGAATTCATGTGCTGTCCACACCAGATTTTTATTTCTTGTGATTGCACATTTTAATGAATTTTCATTTGCTTCTGAATGAATAAAATCATATTATTAAATGCTACATTTCTGCTTTAAGTAAGTAGCAAACTTAAAAGTCTGTATCTACCTCTTTACTGTATTTATCTATTTATTTCTAATTATGAATATAACCGTCATTACTATGCAATAAATTAATGTTTTAATCACTGTTTTGCTCTATATTTTCTGACAAATTTAGTTCAATTTAACAGAAAATATATCCAATTATATAATTGAGCCATTTTTCTTTTCTTCTATTTCTGTAGGGAAAACTTTCGAAGTCAACCAGTATGAAGAAAACAAACGATGGACAGGCGAACACGCAATTCTTGCGTGAAGAAGAATACAGACCCTGATTATCCAGCAGGTCAGGCGTTTTTCAATTTGTCGAAAGGTGCATAAATTATTTATAATGAAGTTGCGAGTTAGCTCGCCGCTGAATAAATATATTACAAAGCTACGTAAAGAATATTAATTTCTGTACTTATGAGAGGCATTATCTTAGCGGCTGATAAAATCAAGTGCAATTTGAAATGTATAAAATATGATTGTTAATGTTAAGTAGTAATAATAATTGGTATAACATATATCAGCATTTGGTAAAAAATCTAATAATCATTAATGAAGTGTAAAAAGGCCAGAATGTCAAATGTCATGTATTATTTAAGAAATGCATTAATGTATTTTTGTGCTCATAAATATTAATAAATGCTTTAAATTTTCATTGCTAGCATTTAAAGGAAATGTGTTTTATGCTTTCCTAAATTTGACTTTTGTGAAATATACAAGCTTTTAAACCTTTAAAACCATGTAAATTTGATAAATTGCGTAAATTTCTGACAAACCTTTTAATTAAATTTTCTAAACGGACATAACAAACATGATTTGCTAAACAAAAGCCAAAATTGTAAATGCCTTTTTCGAAAGCTATTTTATAAGTCTACAAAGTTGTTTTGATTTAAATTGACTCAAAAGCTGTCTTAAAATTATTCATTTTTGTTTGGTTTTGAGAAACAGAAAACATTTCCTACGCAGGAATCGTGTGTTCTTTAGCTTTATCTTATTAAGTACGTTATTCGCTTGAATATGAGACTTCTTTATATGCCCCTCTCCTTCTTTATATCCTCTATAGAAACATTCTGCATTTTATGTGATGTGTTATACGACCTCATATATACTATACATATATGTGTGTGTGTGTGTATACAAATATATGTGTATAAAAACATTTTGAAAGTATTTTTAGATCACTTTTCTCCTTGAATACAGTACATCTAATGTGAATATATCTATCTCATAGTGACCTTTTCTTTCCTTTTAAATCTGCTTTAAACCGAATGGGCCATTTACGCTGGGGTTAATGTGAGCTAACAGTCAGTTCCATGTGTCGACTAGCTCCGCTATGCCTGCAGTTCAGATTTTTCAACATGCTGCCCTATGGGAAAAGACTGGTTTAGAAGATGGATCGGCTACTTTAGTTGTTTCCGTTAGCTCAATTAACTCCCAGTGAGATCGGCCCTTTAGAAAACCGAACCTGTATGCTTTAAATACCGAAACGCATAGCCCCATCCATTAACCTTCCGATCTGTTTTCCTCTCCTCCTAGTCATTAACGCACAAAGAGGTGTGAAGATTTTCAAATGGCATCCTTTCTACTTCCTAACAAAGAATCTTCCATTAGCCTTTTAGGAAAAGCGGTAACGGAAAGGACAAAAACAACACTGCAATCTCTGCGCTTTAGGGCGGTTGCTGTCGTTTGAATAAAAGGGCGTCTCGAGCGGGTTGGCCTTCAAAGGATTAGTGATGTATAGTCGTCTTAAAGGTTCTCTGTCTTATAATCAGACGGATAAAATAGGTTATTTCTTATAGACAGTTAAAAAAAATCCCCTTTTAAATTTAATGACATAAAACGTATGATTTTATTATAAAAGTTATACATATTTAATTAATTAAAGTACTAATATATGGTAAACTATAATTCATCTTCTATACTCTATTTAGGTTTTGAAAATATTCCTTTTATTAAAAACAATACCTGACGTACTTCAGTAATTACTACAGAATAACAAAGTTTTAATTAAGTTATGTATCTTGTTTGCAGGTTATTCTCAACCAGCTACATTCGGAGCTTAAAAAGAAGAATGAAGTCGAAGTTCTTTTTTTCTTTTTTTGTCTACTCACGGTGCTTATGTTGTTTGTTGCTATTGAAATGGCAACCATTGTAACCATGTTGATTGTGAAATATGTACAAAAGATTTTAAATAAACTATGTTATTTGAAATGTGTTTCATATAATTTTGAGAAATCTACATTTTATAATTTATAGAATTAAGTCCATATTTCGTAAAATTAAACTAAAAATGTATCGAGTAGATTCCATTCAGTGATTTATTTATGTAATACAGTATACTTCCAACGCAATAAATAAAATATATTACATGATACTTTATACTAATCCTTGATTAGAATATTTCGCATTTAACTTGATCACTCCAAGTCTCAAAATGGGATTTTGCGTCGAATCATAAATGCGTCCTTTCATTTTTTTATTCGCATCTGTTGCCATTCGTCAAAATAAAAGATATGCAGTTTTTAAGAATACTCTTTTCTTAATTTTAATTTGGATTTATTTAAATACTAAAAGTGAATTTAATCCGCGGGAAAGCGCCTGGGGTGTGTCATACCCCAACCCTACATAAAAGTGGAATATTCCTAACTTGTGAAACTGAAATTCTGTGCTGCTTTCAGTAGCTGAGTTTCTAGTTGTGGTTGACGTTCAGAACCGCTTTTTCATTGCCTGCGTGTTTCAGAAAAAGATTTATCGGTATTTGTTGGAACTGGGCTATGACACACCCCACGCGCCTGTTCGCGTAAGTGTTTTTTTTTTTTTTTCACTGACTATTTAGTTCAGAAATTTATTTCTAGAGTGTAACAGTAAATATTTCTACTCGCAAGTGATTTTAAAGTACTTGATATTAAATTCTTAAAAATTTCTTACTGCATTATGATAAAAAGAATGATCTCTATGAATTGGAGATGCAACGCCTTTGAGATTTATTAGAAATATTTGAAAGCGACGAAGACTGCATTTCGGAAACTAAAGATGAAACTAGGAATATTTTCTACACTGTTTTGGTTTCGAAAAAGATAAAACATTAATTCTTGATGTTCGTAAAAAAGGAAAAACTGTTCTTATGCTTTCAACATTATATAACGATCATACTATAGATGATACTATTGGAGAAAAAAAAAAGGTCAGGAATTATATGTTTTTATAATATGACTAAAGGAGCAGTGGATATGGCGGATGAAATGTCAGCCAATTATTCAATTGCTAGAATAACAAGGAGGTAGCCAATTGTAATTTTCTTTCCCGCACTGAATGTTGCTGTAATAAATACTTGAATTATATTACATTCAACTGCTAATCCACTAACCAGAAACAGAAGTCTGTTTTTGAAGGACTTAGCATTACAATTAATGAAAAAAAGTATTGAACAAAGAATCAGAGATTAATACTTTACCAAGAAACTAACGTACTGTATGCAAAACAAAAGCAGAAGTTTCGACGAAGAATTAAAACGAATACATGAAATTCGAAACAACTATATGAAAGATGTGATAAATTTTTTGCCCTCGCGCCAAGGACAGAAGAACGTGCATGGAATGTTTAAAATGTGAAAACATTCTGTGCCAAGAACACATGAATGTATTTCGTTTGAATGTATTTTACATTTATGTGAAAAGAAGGTTACATTACAAGTGTGAAGAAATAAAATAAGCATTGTGTATCAGAGATGGAACGAAAGGCATGATGTTTATTTTTTATTATTTTCATTTATCTTAATTTTAACTCTAACATTATTTTGGAAATTAACTTTTTGAAACCCATTTATTATTCTTCACGTATTTATAATACACGATAACAAGAAAAACAGCTTTAAATCTAAATAAAAATATTTTTATCGTATTTTGAATATTGGGGTATGTGATACCCCACGTGCCCACTCTAATAACTTTTGTTAGTGCGACTTCCGCCGAGTTAATTCATGATCTATCTAAGTAAAAATATTTAGTATTTTCATGCAATGACGTTATACATTTTTTAACACTTTGTTTCAAATTTGGTACAACTTTAATAAATTTTTAATAACAAACCCAACTGTTTGAGAACAAACAGTGGCAATAAAACATTTATTCGATACTCCAGCGAGCGAGACTGTCAGTTGGAATGTTTAAAGATAGGTTGTTTTTTAATATTTTATAACTTTGCTGCTGAAATGAATTTTCTGCGAGGTATGTGAAAAGAAGGTTACATTTAATAAATAAATTTAACTCATAAAACATTAATAATAAAAAGACAAAAAAAAAAAAAAAAAAGCTTTTTTAAGCCGTCTCACAAATAAAACTGAATGCTTCCAAGTGCCCATGTTCGCGTGGAAGACTATATTATTCAGAGTTTGATGCCTCTAGGTACACTGCGCAAAGAAAAAAAGAAATGCGACAGTTCTATATCTTGCGCCCTACCGGGCCGATTGACGAAATTCAAAATTGTGTCTCGAAAGCGCGAATTAGGATATATATAATTTTATATAACATAGATATTTTGACACATATTTCGACATTTTAAAAACATAAATTTTCATTTAATACATATTTCGATTTTTATGATCAAATTATCGCAAAATTATGCCAAGTTTTGTAAAATTCGCATAGGTAGTTTTTAAAAAATTAGGTATCAAAATTTTAGCTCCTCAATGTTAATAGAATTTTGTATATATTTATTATTATCCCTTTTTCATGAAACGTTTTTGATTCTTCCTTTCGAAATTTAAGTTTATCTATAATAATAAAAGCAAGTGTAATGTGTCTGTCTGTCTGTCCCGAGCTCTCCAGCCAAATCTATCGCACGCAGGGACCTGGAATTTTTTATACGGAAGCACAAAGGGGCTGGCCACCAGACCTCGAAGCCCGATTTTCGATTTTTGAATTAGAAAAATTTTAAAAAAATTATTTATAATTAATTAATCACGGTTTTTTTTGACTCACTGATATTATTATTTGTTTTCAAATAACGTTCGATTGTAACAATTGATTTCTTTATTCTAGCGTTAGTTTGCTGTTTTGACGATACATTAAATCGATTAATTACAATTCATTTCTTTTTTGTAGCTTGTGGGGGGAGAAGAGAGAGAGACAGTCTACATGTCCTACACTACTATTCCTGCGCTATTCACTTATCTGCATTTTCTAAATGCACGGGCAACGCCGGGCGGGTACACCTAGTTCCAAATAAAATTCACCCATTTTTTTATGATTTATTTTTAAACTTTGTATTTTTAAATAAATTTTATTAATTTTTTGAAAACTATTTTGAAATATAAAGTATAAAATTTGTACCATCATCTTGAAGTAGGTGTATTTCTAAGCATATCTGCAAAAATTAGAGTTTTTATTCAAAATTTTTCCAAGATATACAGGAATTTACATTTAGCGTTTTGAAATTTGGCATCTTAAGCGATAATAATGCCAAATGTGGTTTATGGATTTTGTTACAGAGAATTGCCACAGCTATTTTTAACCTTAAATTTCAAATAAATTTTTGCGAAGAATTAATTATATGATTTTTTTTCCTCAATGATGCACAATAAATATTTTTAATACTATATGAAAAGCTATGTTTTTTTTTTTTTAATTTTTAAATATCTTACTTTTTTTTTCTTTTTTTAAATGTTTGTAAGAGTAATTTTTATCTTCGACGTTTTATCTTTTGCTGCTTTACTTTAACTTCATTTAAATTGAATTCTCTAAAATTGAGAAAGTTCGTTTGTTTCCACAATGCTTTTAAGCAAACAGGACGTTGACAGTTTGGGTCGTGTCCTAGCTTTAATAAAATATATAAAAATAAAAACTTTTACATTAATCCTCTTAGAAAGAATGTTTTAAGTAGTAATTTTCTCTCGTGTTGTAGAATATATAAAAAACATGCTCTTTAATATAGAAATTATTAGCCTTAAAATCTCTAAATGATATGATTTAGATTGTTTGCACCCGATATAAGAATCGGGCCACTCAGTGGTACAGGCTAAGCACTGGAGTGATTTATTTCTTTCTCATTTAACAAAAATCTTTTAATTCAAATATGTATCCTTTGGACTTTGCTTTAAACTTCATTTATAGTTAAAAATGTCTAAAAAATGAAAAGCTATCTTCAGCTGAAACGCATTTGATGCAACGGGTATTTTAAAAGAATTGACAAGAATGCAAAATTTATAGAAGTGTAACAATCGAAAAATCTTAATTTTCTTGTGTCAGCACTGAAAACAAATGAAGAAGTAAAGAAGGACATTAGGGGGAACAAAGCAAAACTTTAAAGGGGAATCTACTTCAAGGAAGTTTTGGGTTCAAAGAGAAAACACTTGGACGTGCACACCAGTAAATAGCAGAAATTGAGTTAGTAACTAAAAGAAAAGACAAGAAACATATCATTGCAGATTAAATTGAAGAGCGATTGGTTTTCGACTATATAGTTGTATAAATTTAAATTACGTCACAGAACATCATATCGTATCATAAACGGAACATTCCATGACTTCTCAGTCGAATTATTTGAAGATGATTTGTGCCTTCGTGAAGTCTGCACGCTCGGTGCGTATTCGAGAGGTCCGTGGTTCGATTCCCGACGACGGCATTGTTAATTTTTCCTTTCCCCTACTTCCAAATAAATACCTAATGTCTCTACAGTGGCGCCCGAACTAAATGTTGGTGAATGATGATTCTTTACCACCAGGACTTTGCGACTGGGTATCCTAATCCCCAGTCGCCCTTTAAAAGGAGGGAGTATATAAGGTATTTCTCCCGCCTTCTTAGTGTGCCTTCGTGGTGTAGTGGTCTGCTCTCGGTGAGTATTCGAAAATTCCGCGGTTCGATTCCCGGCGAGAGCATTGCTCTTTTTTCAAGTCTCCTGCTTCCCAAAACTCCTAATGTCTCTAAAACGTATATGGATATCATCTAAAGACGTTTTCCTTCTTGATGAAACCAGTCTTTCCTTTCATCTCATGCCTTCAAAATACTTAGCCTCTAAAGAATGGTAAAGGCTATGACCAAATACTGATGAAATGGATTGAATTGGATTATTAAATTACGGCAAAGCACGGCTATCTGCCTAAAAGGAAGGATGCCTTCGTAAAGAACTTTCTAAGGAAAACCAGCTGGCATACACTATACACATGAGAGAAACCACGAAAACGCCTTTGCAACCATTCCGTTTGCCGGCATTCG